AAAAACTATTAATTATTGTAGCAATTGAATTGTCGAATAAAATTCTACAACAATAGGAAAGAAGACTACAATGTTTAGTATATTTTACTATTGTTTGTAGAAGTAGAAATTTATTACAATTATCGTAATTACTGCTACTAACTTCTGTAAAAATTTGTACAAATATTAATAATTATCTCTACAAAAAATAGTAATTTTCTCTACAAAAAATAGTAATACTTTGCATCCCTTCTTATGAAAAAAATTCAATTTTGTTAAAAAATATTCACTAGTAATACCACTAGAGGTCAAAAAATTTCCTGATATTAATTTGACCTCGCGTGGTATTCGGTAAGAAAATTCCACGCCGAATTATGGTTGAAAATTAAATATTTTTAAAATTTATTTTTCGTTTCTCAACAATGCAAATTATTTTCTCCAAGTCACCAGTGAAACATAAAAGGTGTTGTCGCCTTGATTATTGAGTTGCCATGGTAACTAAGTGAGACCCTAACCTCGAATATAATTTCAGTTTTGAAGTTGTCAAGCGGCCCGACGTAAAAAATTGTTTCGCTGCAATTATTTAGGCCTTCAAATTGCTTATTTCTACTCATTGTAGTTGCATGGGAATACCATTTGAAAATAGAAAATAGTATATTCTTTAATTTTACGTAAGTTTTGAATAACTACAAGTGGTAGAAAATTGTTTTTCTGCGTTTTTATTAACATGCGTTATGAGCGCTTTAAAATGGTATGAAATTCATAACCAGCGTCAGCAAGCATCAATGGTAGGAGGCTGTGATCATTGTATTTTGACAGTTCAAAACATTAAATAACTCGCGTTTTGTTGCGATAAAGAATATTGCACAGCAAGTAAAACCAACAAAATTACCTATTTGTATAAAAATGAATCGATTTGAAAATCATACGCTATGCAAAATATGCGTGAAATTGTCTGATGTAATGATCAATCATTGCACCATGACTTACTTACTCGGATTAATAGAGGATTGTGGCTCCAACTTGAAAAACGAAAATTTGTTCCGAATTGTCCACGAATATTTGCACCTAAACTACGCAAAATTCAAAGTGCTGAATGGGAAAAAGGTGAATAAATTAGTGTCTAAATATTATATATATTTTATTAGACATAGACACATAATTCAAAACATCCAAAGTCCTGCATTTTCGCCATTAAGAAGAAAAGAAGTGGCCGAAGAATATAGAAAACACCTTAGCATTGTAACTCTTAGCATTGTAACTAAAATGTATCAAAACTAAACCTATTATGTGAACAAATAAAAACCAGTCTGTCAAAAATGGTCTGTTATTGTAAACGTCAAAAAATTTCCAGTATAATTCGCTGTTGGGTACCCCACGAGAAAAAAATTTCCACTAAAATACCTCCGTTGCCATGGTGATCTGTCAAAAACACGTATTTTGATTGGTTCAAAATTACAGGTGTGGAATTTTCTATAATATTATAGAAATTTTAAGTCATGTAAATAAAACAGAATTCTGCTATTGGCCAACGTTTTCTGACGTCGATCATAAATGGCCAGACAGCAGTAGCCGTTCGCCATGTTCACAAAACAAAGCATGGTACATATACGAGTATAACACATTATTATATTATAAGTACTGATGCGTTTGAGAAAATTTTAATAATAACTTCTATTAGTGGTAAGTACATTTATTATTGTTTCTGAATAATTTACCTTTAGATAACTAATTTAAATAACCTTAGTAGATTATTTAAAAAAAAATAGTTGCCAACGATCGAATGTTGTGCCCAACGATCGAATGTTTTTTTGTCTTAATTGTGACATACCTACTTTCTCATTTTTGTTAGTTATCTGACTTAGTCATTTAATATCCAAATCAGTGTAAAGGTGATAAATATCCCCGTTTTAAGGGTATGGACAGTTCAATAGTTATTAATTTTTATTTCATATTTTTCAGATGCAGAAAAGCCAATTGAGACAGTTATGTATTGCCTAATGTAATTAAGACTTTGTATCTTTTATATTAAAACAATAAATTGAATATTTTATTTAGGAACATTTTTTCTAGGTTATAATTATAATAATTATGGAATACTACTACTACAAATTTTATTAAAAATTACTACAATTTATATGCATTTTTACTATTTATTGTGTAAAATTTTCGTATTTATTTTCATAAAACGCAATACATTTTTAATATAAATTCATACAATGAATAGCAAAAATTATAACAATTTGTGGAACAATTTTATGATGCATTTAGATATGTTTACTACATATTGTAGATAATAACTCTACAATACATTGTTTACAAATATTTACTACAAATTGTCCCTATATGTACTATTTATTGTAGAGAAAAAATGTATAATTGTAGAAATTTGGTCTACAATTTTTTTTCCGTATAATCCTTTTTAAATTGGGATGAAGAGGATTTTTTTGCAAGATTTAGTTTATCTAAGGAAACGGTTAACAGAATAATTGATGAAATAGAAGGACGAATTGAAAATCCGACTAATAATTAATAGGCAAATTACATTTTTATAGCATTTTGTGATCTTATTTTATTATTCTAGAAATAATGCACTAAGTCATGGTTCTGTTGACTATACAATTTGTCAGATTCCCTCGTTGTATTGGAGCTTTAGATTGCACCCACGTAAAAATTCAAAGTCCTGGTGGGGATCAAGCTGAAATTTACAGAAACAGAAAGCAATACTTTTCAATAAATGATCAAACTATTTCCGTTCCGGACCAGATTAAAGAATTCAAAATATTGTAGCTCGATGGCAAGGATCGCAACATGATTCAAACATATTAAGGAATTCTAACATAAGGATGAAATTTGAAAGAGGTGAAATGGGAGACAATTTACTTGTAGCGGATCGTGAAAATTCTATTAAAAAAATATTTATTAACTCCACTTGCGAATCCAGCAACTCCGGCTGAGCAGCTATATAATGAATCAATAATCAAAACGAGAAATCCAGTTGAAAGAAGTTATGGTGTATGGAAACGAAGATTTCCGATACTGGCACTGGGTATTCGACTAAAACTAGAAAGGATAGAAGCTATTATAGTAGCAACAACAGTTTTACACAATATTGCCTGTGAAGTGAGAGAACGAGACCCACCAATTGATCAGAAACTTGAAGAGTTAATTGAACAGCAATTAATTGATGCTGAACCTCATTACGCTGAACAAAACCAACAAAATTTTTTCAACAAAAAATTTATTTATTCATTATTTTCAAGAGTTAATGTAATGTTAAGATAAAATAAATACAAGTATTTACTGTTTCTATTATTATTTTTACTTTCCTATCTGTATACAGATAAGGTGGTGTGGTGTGGTGTGGTGTGGTGTGGTGTGGTGTGGTGTGGTGTGGTGTGGTGTGGTGTGGTGTGGTGTGGTGTGGTGTGGTGTGGTGTGGTGTGGTGTGGTGTGGTGTGGTGTGGTGTGGTGTGGTGTGGTGTGGTGTGGTGTGGTGTGGTGTGGTGTGGTGTGGTGTGGTGTGGTGTGGTGTGGTGTGGTGTGGTGTGGTGTGGTGTGGTGTGGTGTGGTGTGGTGTGGTGTGGTGTGGTGTGGTGTGGTGTGGTGTGGTGTGGTGTGGTGTGGTGTGGTGTGGTGTGGTGTGGTGTGGTGTGGTGTGGTGTGGTGTGGTGTGGTGTGGTGTGGTGTGGTGTGGTGTGGTGTGGTGTGGTGTGGTGTGGTGTGGTGTGGTGTGGTGTGGTGTGGTGTGGTGTGGTGTGGTGTGGTGTGGTGTGGTGTGGTGTGGTGTGGTGTGGTGTGGTGTGGTGTGGTGTGGTGTGGTGTGGTGTGGTGTGGTGTGGTGTGGTGTGGTGTGGTGTGGTGTGGTGTGGTGTGGTGTGGTGTGGTGTGGTGTGGTGTGGTGTGGTGTGGTGTGGTGTGGTGTGGTGTGGTGTGGTGTGGTGTGGTGTGGTGTGGTGTGGTGTGGTGTGGTGTGGTGTGGTGTGGTGTGGTGTGGTGTGGTGTGGTGTGGTGTGGTGTGGTGTGGTGTGGTGTGGTGTGGTGTGGTGTGGTGTGGTGTGGTGTGGTGTGGTGTGGTGTGGTGTGGTGTGGTGTGGTGTGGTGTGGTGTGGTGTGGTGTGGTGTGGTGTGGTGTGGTGTGGTGTGGTGTGGTGTGGTGTGGTGTGGTGTGGTGTGGTGTGGTGTGGTGTGGTGTGGTGTGGTGTGGTGTGGTGTGGTGTGTGTGTGTGTATGTGTGTGTGTGTGTGTGTGTGTGTGTATGTGTGGTCGCATGCGTGTGTGTGGTCGCGTGCGTGTGTGTACTCGATAATTCATGAACGGATACAGAGGAGCACACAAAATTTAAAAGTTAAGCTTTATTTCGGTCTGCGGTGAACTGATTAGATTATGGACAGAGTCAGAACATCTAGGAGGATAGTTTATAGGAGGTCGTTTTTATATTTATTGGAATATATCTGCAATTTACGTTTGGAAGATAAAATTCTCTAAATAAAAATTACTTCTAATATTATTCTCTATAATTTTTATTCTGTACAAAATTATCCTAAAATGATCTGTGTTCGAGAAATTTGTCAAAATGTGCAAAATTCTAATTTTTAAGAAAATTGTTAAACTAAAAGTTGTTGGCGATATCGATATCTATAATTTTTATTTAATACATGATTTCTCTAAAATTGACCATAATGCAAAATTTGAGGAAAAGTGTAAAATTTAAATTTTTCAATATTTTTGTTGGCAATGAATATATTATAAAAAATGTTTCGAGTTAGATGTATGTGGAAAATCTAAATGTAAGTGTGGAAAATCTGAATGTAAATGTGAACATTTACAGAGGTAATACAATAGTACAAAATAATCGGAAAGAGTCTAAATTAACTAGATAGGAAAGTCATGTATTGGACACATCAGATTTTTATTGAAACTAATTAGAGATATCACAATAAACTGAATTTAATTTAAATAAAATACAAAAAGTTGGAACAATAAATTAAAACTTGGGCATTACGCTGTTGATATATTACTTTTTAATTGTTTTTTCTTTATTTTAAGATCTAATTCTAAAACCTTCATCTTAATGGCATGTTCTTCTCTTCTTTGGCTCATAATTAAATCGTGTTCTTCACGTTCTCTTTTAATTTTTGTTTTTGACTCTTCTAGGAGCTGGGTCATTTTCAATTTGATTAATTCTAATTTTACACTACCCACCTCTGTCCAGGTGCTATTGGCATTATTTCTGGGTGTGGATTTATGCGCTTTAGCCGTTTTATTTTTTTTTTGTAAATACTACTTGGTCTATTTTATCAGTCTCTTCAAGTTGTTTACTTGATCCTGCTTTATTACTTGATGCTTCGTTTATTTTTTCTTGTATATCTAACGCAAGAAGTGGAAAAGATCTATGTTTTATTAACATAATTGAATTATACGTTGCCTAGTTTAATTTTTGTGGCACCTTTATTTTTGAAGAACCCGCTTCCTCTTGAATTTCGATAATATCATTTTCGTTAATTTCATTATTTTCAACTGCCTTAAGTAAATTATCGTCATCGAATTCTGATCCCATTCCCGTAATACGACTGCCTAAAATTTATTTTAGTGATTGATCAACTTAATCAATGTTTATTATTTTAGGCGGTCCACCGCCAGTCCCTCGCATAATTAATTTTTCATCAGCATATTTTTTTTTGTTCTTTTTTTCAAATTATCATATTTTCTCCTTAAGGTTTTTACATCCTTGGAAGTAATATTATTTGCATTAAACTCTTGGCACAACTGTAGCCATTCTAAATTTTTTTTCTCTTGATGTATTGATATCCGTTTTTTCACATTCTAAAATATTTTTCCTTTTGGACACTAGCGATACCTATTAAAATTATGTTTTGATGATTTATTTAAACAATAATTTGTAGATTATAATATTTATCAATAATTCTTCTTCGCTGCTCGAAAAATTTGCGGCCCGTTTATTTTTCTCTATATTTTTTTCATTTTAATTTTTCGTCTTTATTTCATGAAGGTATTTTTCAAAACGTCAAACTGACATAGAGCATTCAGTTTTATCAGAAGTTCCTCGATTTAGAACTACCAATATAAATTTAATTAAGATCACCTGAACTGTGATTGAAAAACGCTATTCATATTGATCTTAGTTCTATATTTGATATAAGTTCAGGTGAACGAAAGTTTAAACTGTAATTGAAAAACTGGCCCTAAAGGTAACTCAAATAGTTTTGACTGTCTGATGAACAATTCTGGCTCCGGTTTCGCTCTAAATGGAGAAGGCGTGGTCCGTTTGATACCAAAAATCAAAGTAATTAAATACGGGTGCCAGAACGATTTAGCTGACAGATAAATATGATCCTTTATCCTAACCTAAATCGATCAAACAATAGAAACGAAATGAGACAACGAAAAGTCCTGCTTATACTATTTAATAGGTTGTTAAACAATGTACTCGTAAGCTTTATAGTAACAGCCTTATTTTTATTTAATACCTGCAAGGATCCAAATTACCAATACACCTATTATTTTTGAACATGATTGATAATTACAGGCAAACATAACTTTATATAAACTATTTATTGTACATATTATTTTTTAGGTAAAGTTTCTTATTATAAAAAATTCAACTGGCTGATCCATTTTTCCATTTCCATAATAATTTCAAGTAGTTACCTTATCAGAATAATCAAATTTTTCCTTCCAGCGGGTTTTGTAAAAAACACACAAAAATAACAAATTTTTAGCTTACTTCCTAGTTCATAGTATTTACAGTTTGGCACAAAATATATTAACATTTTGAATTAGTATAAGAATGGTCTTAGACACTAAAACAAAATATAAAACAAATAATTACAGTCGTAAAACTTTATCATAGATAAATAAAACATTATAACCTTAAAAAGTTTTATTTACCTTGCCTTAAGGGCGGGCGTGGGCAATGTATTTAACATAGGCATACACAACGCTCTTTCAATGACTTTTTAGCTGAAACTACAACAAAGAGAAAAGTGAAAAAATTCCTGCCGATAATAGATATATACTACTGTTTAATAAAGGTTTTTGGTGTCTCTAACTATCAGGGATCGTTTAAAAATAATTCCCAAAATATGGTAATTTTTACGATGAAATAAAGCTAAAAATATACCAGTAATAATTACCCGATGATGAAAATAATTCTTCTTTGAATAGGCTATATACTAAAGCAACTAATGTCGTTTAAAATATTTAAATTAATTGCGTCAATTTCCTTAAAAGTTCATTGAAGTAAATATTGGAAAAAATTATAAATCGCCATTTATATGTAAAAATTGCATAGAATATAAAAGAAAACTTCTTAAAATTTCATATAAGTAGCCACAGGTTAATTCGGAGCTTCTCTAATAGATGGCGCTAAAGTCGACTCGAAATAAATTCAAATACGCAGGTTCTTATTTAGGAGTTTACTAATTAATATGCATATTATTTCAATTATTAAACATATTCAATATTTGCGTAAGAGCATGAAGGATATGTAAGTAATGAGAGAAAGCCTCTTTGAGATATTGATTTTACGTTTTGTGATCCGGAAAATGTCTGTACGGAAGTGGTAAAAATTTAGAAAAACGACTGAACAGCCTCTTAGCAAAAATCGATTGCTTGCTTATTTTGTTGGATATCGGAGCCAGAGTGTTGTTTTATAAAATTGAATATTTCAAATAATTATACAAATCTACTATGCTTAAATGTATTTTTTTTCAAATTAGGTTTTAACTTTCATGTATCCAGTAAAGTATAGGATTGTTTTTTTTTTCGACTTCTAGTTTTAAACTGTACTTTAGGTTTCGACGATAATTCAAAAATGAATAAACAGTACATTTTAAACTTCAAATTTAATCTAATAAAAGTTATATAGATTTGAAAAATAGATATTTAAAAAATATTTTTGGATATACAGGGTACTGCGTTTTTCCTGGCAAATAAAAATGTATGTATTTTATTTTATTTTTATAATATTTTAGTAATACTGTATTCAATCCTAGAATATTTTTATAAAATATTACAGTATTGCCAAGCATTATTTTTTTTTTGAAATTAGAGAATGATGCTGACCGCAAATTAAATTATCATAATTTAGGTAGGTTTACATTGATCTCAAAATTGTTTAATATACAGACTTATAAGATACTAAGCTAACGAATAGTGGAGATAGAACTGATTTTAAGTTCAATTTACTCAATTTGTAAAATGCATCATCGTGTATATTATCTTATCATAACATTTCTTAAACATTTGTCTATACAACGATACCAATATGTTAGCCAATAACACATGTACAGTGTGTATATTTGATAGATACCTGTTTTATTATTAGAAAAACGACGAAATTTTTAGTATAAAAGTTGTATGACTATATTTAACAATTATTTCTAAATATACAGGGTGGTCCATAAACGAGGTGCGAACCAAATCTATACTTTTTAAAAGCAAAACACCCTGCAGGTTGTTTGTTACAAGTTATAGGATTTCGTTTAAAATTTTAATTACGGATTTGTTGTTGCAAGAAGCAAAGACAAAAATGGTATCAAAATAAGGATGTTCTTAATCCTCGCCAAGTCAATATGCTTGTTGATTCAACAAACAGGATGAAAATAAGAGGTCAATGTTTTAATTACATATTTCATGTTTAACGCTGAGACAGAGAACAAAACGAATGGCATTAGATGAAGAATGGGTGGTTACTTTAGTGGAACAGCCTAATAAATTTGATGTTTTTAAATATGTATCATCGAAGTTAACTTCTATATCAACTAAGGAAATTTACAGTGCAAAAGTAGAGGCCTTAAAATTAACAGTAGACGAAAAGGGTCAAACGACTTTTTAGAGTTTTTTAAGTATTGTTGATACTCCAGATTTTTATAAAGAAAATACAATGGACAAAGACAATCAACAGAAAACTCAAAAATTTATTAGCAAAGGATTAATTATGCCGAAATATTTTAAGTTTGAGCTGACAGCCTCTCCGATGCATCTAACAGTAAATGGTTATCTCGGCACCTCCACAAATAAGAGTTCATTGGGAAATATTTTAGAACAATATGGCATTTACTCACAAATACACTTACTTGCACCTATTGACTCTGGCAAAACTTGTCACATTTTTGATGGGATGGCAATAGTCCAAGGTTTGGGAAAGTCCAAAAGTTTTATATCATTTAAAGAATATGCTAATGTATTTGTAAACGTTATTTTTAGAAATACATTTAATGCTTAAAGGATTGATGTGGTATATGATCATTATAAAGAACATTCTATCAAAAACTCGTCAAAAGAGAGGATCCCAGAAATCAATTGATATAGAAATTGACCGACCCAATACACCACTTCCGCAACAATGAAACTTGTTTATTCATTCGATATTTAACAATAGACGTTTAACAAATTTTCTGTCAGAGCAACTTCTTCAAAATTCCATTCAGCAAAAGCATATTTAATTTGTAACTAGTGGTGGATTCGCGAATATCAATAAATATGAGACGAATTTTGAACTATCAAAAGATGATTTCTTAAATTCAAATCATAAACAAGCTGATACTCGTATCTTATTGCACATATTGTTAGCCAAAAATTCGGGGCATTCATGCTGCATTATTGATTGCAACGATACAGATGTTCTAGTCTTAAAAATTTATTTCAAGAAGTATTTGACTAAAGAGATATGGTTCAGAACAGGGCGAAGAGACTCAAGACGATTTCTAGCAGTACATGATTTAAATTTGGATGGTATCTTCTAAAAAATTTGCCTGCTTTTCTTTCTCTGACCGGTTATGATACAACCAGCCAATAGTCTGGCATTGGTAAAAGAAAACATATTCTCTAATCTTGAAAAATGTTTCATAAAAATGTATTCAAAAACTGCCAGTGTTACTTCCATTAACATTTTGAGGGGATTAATGGCCTCTTTAAAAACCATTGCTAAATTGCCACCGACTGAAGACGACCTAAGATAACATTGTTTAAGATGTTTTTACCAGCTAAATATTTGGCTAAGCTCTTTAAAGCCGCAGATGCAGCTTCCTAATGTTAAAGAGTATGAATAGAAAGTAGATCAAGATGGAAGGCTGATACCCACTCTAAGACTCTGTCCGACCTGCCACCAGACACGACAGAACTTACATCATGCAAATGCAGAAAAGGTACTATACACCGATAATTTTCATAGATGTACAATATTCTAATAATATTATTCTGTTCTAGACTAATAAAGCAAAATTTGTAAATGCAGGAAAAAAATATTGGCTGTATCGGTTCCTGCACCTACCTGTATGGCACAGAAAAACTGCAGCAAAAGTTTGATCACAGCCGCTAATGTTTTGGAAAATGTTGATTCGTGTGGTGAATCTGATTCTGATTAGTTTAAAAGTCTTGTACTTATAAATTTTAATAATATTAATTTATGCTTTATACCGGGTGTTCAAATTAAAGTGTTACAGCTAAATACCGCCTATTATAAAAAAACACGTTTCAGACGAAAGTTTTATAGTTTTGTGGGGAAAAATTTTTGCTAAAATCGTTTTTTTCAGCTAAGCATAATATGGCCA